AGAATCACCTAAAGGAAAATAAGTGTGGGTTAGCATTTTGTAAAATGAATGTTCAAAAGCTAAATAACAAATTTGGCAATGTTGAGGGTCTTCTGAAGAGTCAGGTAAAAATAATGTATTTCATAATCAATTTTAACTTCAGAAATGTTATATCAGCATTTCTCATATTGTGTTCATAGACCTCTGCAAGATGTTTAATAGGTATCAGATGAATAAAATGGCTCCCTAGTCAAATACATTGTGAAAAAAAAATTAAAATTTCTTTACCAAAGAATTTCTCAGAGCCTTTAACGTGTAAAGTACATTGGAAATCAACTGGAAGGGAACACGTTCTGTAGTTTTTTCTTATACTTTTGACCATAGAAATATTTTTTCCATGTGAACCACTTGAAATTATTGTTTTGTAGACTACATTCTTAGATATGGAGTTCCAGATAATTCCTCTCTAATTAAGGAAAAGAAAGAAAACAGTTTGCTGTATTCACAACTTTTCTTCTGCAGGTAGGCTCCAACCCTGTCCACACCAGCCCATTCCCAGTCCTGTTGGGCTCTAGGGCATTCCAGCAATAACACCCGTCTTCCCTATTCTCAAGAGAAGGGAAAGAGATGGGGGCCGAACCACGTGCAGCCAAGTCCTCCTAAGTCACCAACCCATGGACTGGAGAGTGGAGGGAGGCATGGGGTGCTCCCCCTACATTGAAGGCCTAAGGAGTGAGGGTGCTCCCTCACCCTCCCCTTTCCCTGCCCCCCCACCAAACAAGTCTCCTCTGGGTGACCCAAATAGGCATTCGGGTTCCCCTTCCATCACTGGGGATTTCTCTCCTTCACCTTCCCTTATACTTTGTGCTCACTCTACCATTTCTCCTCTCCCTCCACCCAGTTCACCCAGTAGAATAGGATCGTGATGATACTCTAATGACTGTCCCTTTCTCATCTCCTGTATAACTTAAAAGTAATTCTGCTTTTTACCCTAGAAAAAGTGGACTACATATATTCTCTAAAACAGAGATGGAGAAACTACAGCCTGACCTGTTTTTGTAAATAAAATTTTATTGAAACACAGCCACACTCATTGGTTTACATATTGTCTGTTGCTGCTCTCGGCTACAATGGTAGAGTTGAGAAGTTGCGACAGGGACAGTAGGGCCCACAAAGCCTAAAATATTTACTATCCAGCCCTTTACAGAAAAAAATTTGCCAAACCCTAATCTAAAACATAGATGAATTTCATTTCAGTCCTGTAAGTTCTGCAAGAGTTTCATTAGTATGTATGTGTAGCCTTTTCATTAACCCACTCTAAATAAAAACACTTTAAACCAAGAAAATTGCATGGTTGTAGTATAAGAGGGATTTTGCCTCTTGTGAAATTGTTTCTAGCCTTTCAGACTTCTGGAAAAGTATCAAGGGGATTGTGTGTTTCCTTTGAAGGCCCGGAAAGAAGGACAGAGGCTTGCTCTGGTCAGAAGTATTTGGCATCCTCAGTGGAAAGGGAAGAGAACAGATAATCCATGGGGCCTATGGAAGAAAGGAGTCGAGAAATGTCTAGGGGCCCAGGGGATTGGACCAGCACAAGATCCTGCCTTCAAAGCTCCCTCTCGGAGCCCCAGGCTCCTCTCTTCACATCCTGTTCCGGAACTCAGACTTGATTCCTCCCAGCGCAGCCCCCATCCATTGGAACCTTCCACAGAATCCCAAGATGTCAGGAGACAGGGTTCTGCTCCCACTGCAACTGCCTTCTACCTGGGAGACCCTGGGCTAGTCACTGAGTGCCTCTGCCCCTTAGGGTTCACTCACCTGAAAACTGGAGAGTTGGTGCATTGGGAAAGATGTCTTATTTCGCCATAATGAGAATAAAATGTGGTATTGTAAAAAAGGCTTTATGAGGGCCTGCCCAGTGGCGTAGTGGTTAAGTTCTCACTCTCGGCTTCGAAGGCCTGGGGTTCATGTGTTCGGACCCCAGGGGCAGACCTACACACTGCTCATCAAACTATGCTGTGGCAGTGTCCCACATACGAAATAGATGAAGATTGCCACAGATGTTAGTTCAGGGTGAATCTTCCTCAAGCAAAAAGAGGAAGATTGGCAAGAGATGTTAGCTCAGGGTGAATCTTCCTCAAGCAAAAAGAGGAAGATTGGCAACAGATGTTAGCTCAGGGCCAATCTTCCTCACCAGAAAAAAAACAAAAAGAAAGACTTTATGAATGTAAAGTACTGTGAAAATATGGGTGGTTTTTGTTCTTCTTTTTAAACAGCTGACTTGCAAATGAAATTTTAGAATCCATAGAGTTAACTGATGTTTGAAAACTAAAGTACCTTATTTCACATTTGTCACATGCATCTTTATTTATTGTTGAAGTATCTAACTTTCATGTGGGTTATAAAAAAATGGAGAAAATAACTGAATTTTTACCATGATAAAATAATTCTTCAGTGGGAGGAAAAGAACTTCAAAAACTCTATTTCTTTCTGACTGGTTCTTTTCTGTTTGTTGTTTGTGTAGTTTTCATTTTGTGCCTTTGTTTATAGAGAATAATCTTGCAGGTGGCATTTTTCCTTGTAATCAGTTATTGTCCTGAGTCATCGCCAGACACAGCATTTCAGTAAATAGTGATTCTGTAGTCGCTTCTAGGTAGATGTGTTGTGTGATGTCAGGAACACTAGCTGATAACCTTTCTGGTTACTCAAGTGGTAGGGAGAAATGGAGAAAGTTTCGTATAGATACACACCTTGAAATCAGAAAATGTCAAAGAATGCACAGACTTTGTGTTGAATGACTTTAGCCAAATACAGGGTTTGTGTGGCTATGGGTTGGAGCAATAATCATTCTAAAAGGTAAAAAATCTTTCTTGAGTAAATGACCTTTCATATTGGGTGATACATATTTTCTTATAAACATCAAGCATGTGAGTTATTAAACACCCCTTGACCTCGTTGTACAGAGACTTGCATTACCCTGACTGCTCATGCTGCTGTGGTCTCATCCCTATAACCAAGCAAACTAAACTCCTTGTGCATTGGTTTTGCCACCTGTAAATTGGGAGTTGATTATCTTATCCCTAACTGTCAGAGGAGGGAAATTTCTGAAAATACGGCTCTTCTTGATATGCCAATAAAAGGTCAGTTTAAACAATCACTTAACAACAATAGTTGTTTGACATTCTAGGTCGAAAAAGTAGGTTGATTTAATCTTTCACTTAACAAGTGTTAACTTTATTATCCCATAGACATATTCCCAAAGTTCCTAATGCTTTTGTTTCGA